AATGATGGAATGTTTTATGCAGACTGATTCATTCAATAAAATGTGGATTCAATTTGCATTGTGATAGCTACAAAATTAGTAATAGACATTTTTAAAGTCTACACATAAAAAAGCCACTCCTGTACACAAGCTGTTGTAGTCCTTTGCCTGAAAACATTCCTCTGAAAATATGTCACTATGCAACCACTCAATATGAACTAAATAAAACAGATGCTTTGTACTGAGTATAGTACCAATAGTCATTTCAAGCAGGACAAGGTCATTGACCACTGGGACTGTGACAGCTCCCAGCTGGCCCCAGTTAAAGGGGGAACTTCCTTCAGCCTTCACCAAAATGTTGCTCCTATACTTGTGGTAGAAAAGTTGAGACCACAGCCATGGGAGGCCTGGAAAAACAATACATTTTCTCATGGTGCGCCTGCCAGATGCGAAGATACTAGAAGGCATAGCGTGTTCGGATGTCTTCCAGTTTCTTCGACACTTCTGGAGGCGTGCGGTCCAATTCCTCAGAGACGCTCTTCTGCTTATGTGGGTCCATGGAGTTAAACTGCTCACAAAGGTCTCCATCGATCACATTCTGGAAGCATACAAGCAAAGTCAGTGAGAAAGATGAGGCCAACCGATGTAGCAAGCTACCCAAATCTCACTTCTTTGCAAAGTGATGGACACTATTTTAAAGATGCCACACAAAACATAAGTAGATGATCAAGAACTAACTAGAAACTGTTAATACTAAAGCTGTGATATTAACAGTGTTTGCCCTTACCTTTACTGGAAAATAGTACGAGCGGAAGCTGAGGTGATCACGGCCACACAGAGGGGGAAACTCAGAGCGCATGTGCATCTCCAAGTGCTGGAAGAAGTCATGATCCTAAAGACAGATAAGAAAAACATTTACACAATTTAAAAACCTTGTTATTTAATGTTTGATAACTAAAGTTGCACCATACACATCACAGTCTCTACTCTGATGGCCTGAAGTTAAGGAAGTGGCCTGTCCTGAAGCCTTCACCTCTTCCGTTTCAGTGGTTTTAGACTTATGAAAGACCATTGCACATAAGCACTCCTCTTATGTAATTACTGGTTATTCATAATTTAAGGAACTGTACCTCATGAGAGGTGAATGGCACCAGGATGCCAATGCCTCCCGATAGTGTGGTGTACACCAGGGACTCTGATCCTCCAGGGATGAGGGTAGTTTTCTGGAGGGACAGGACCGTCTCTCCTATGTGATAGTTAATAATCACCTCGGCCTGTAATTGACAAAGAAGAAAAAAAGGACAACAGGTATGGATTAAAATGGGGCTTGAGAAGGCTGTTTTTGCTTGTCATAGTAAAACTGGAGAAA